TACAGAGAAACCAGAGTATACTGGTGAATATAATAGAACCAGGGGCATAGAAAGGGAGTGGACTGACAATTCTTTCGGGGAAAGGGGTGTAGAGGTGCAGGAAGAGACTGGACAAACATTGTACACCTATGGATGAGGACAGTGGGAGGGGTAAGGGCCGAGGGTGGGGTGGGAACTGGGTGGAGGAGAGTTATGGGGGGAAAAAAGAGGAACCACTGTAATAATCTGAACAATAAAGATTTAATTTAAAAAAAATAATAAAAATAATAAAAATGTGGGAACTGGGTGGAGGAGAGATATGGGGGGAAAAAAGAGGAACCACTGTAATAATCTGAACAATAAAAATTTAATTTAAAAAAAATAATAAAAATAATAAAAATGTATACATACTTTGAAAAAAACAACAACCGAATTATACTTTTACCTGGGCTTTGCCTAAATTATGTATGAGGAAGTAATATTAACATTATTGCTACCTAATGCGAGACATTTGTACATGCTATGTTATCTTATTTAATCCTCACAACAACTCAGGAAGAGAAATATTCCTCCAGAGGAGGAAGTGGTGATTCAGAAGTGCAGTCACTTGCCTAAGGTCATACAAGTAAACAGAATTCATCATTCACATCTTACAAAAGAAATCTCACTGTGGGTGATAACCCAACTGGCAGTTTTTCCTTAGAACATACAATTTGCTCTCCAAAGCTCTATTCTAAATATTTAAATTATAGAATCACAGTACTAGAGAGCCTCAAGTGTTTACTTAGGAACATTAATTAAAAGCACTCAAATCATGTAGCTCCAAAATGGGTTTTAAAATAAGTTCTGTTAAAGTAGTGTATTTCTTAGTCATTTTGTGGCTTATTGCACTTCCGGAACCAACTACTGACAAACTTCCTCTTTTTCTACAGACACCATTTCAGTTTGCTGGAGGACCATTTTTAATCTAAATGGAACCACCCCTTTTGCTTTCTTAGCCAAATCACCAAAATGTCCAGTTAGAACAAGAATTTAGCATCCTGCAAAAGAAGTTAACAGCTGAGGTAAGAAAAATTTCACACAGGCAATTTGGTTTGATCTTTGTTTTATTTAAATCTTATTTTTAAAACTAAAATGACAGTAGTGTTTTAAACGTAAACTGCTAGTCTAAAGACGTCTATAATAGGTTTTGTGATTTTGTTGTGTGGAATTAAAAACTATTGAGTGTTGAACTTGCCTTGAAGAAAAAATTTCACCTAGGTTTGCATAATATAAAATTTCACCTAGGTTTTGCTAACCTTAGTTCCATAGTTAAAAGAAAAACTATATCCAAGACAGATAAAGCTAACAGCTAGAAATAAAACTAGGATCCACAGGATATGACTGAATTTACAGCCCCAAAATAAGTTAAAAATTCTGATTTGCTTTTTATAAAATTTTCCTGTATATAATGTAACCCATAGATTAAAATTATTTTTATTTTTTAATCCCCTTTAGTTTCCATAGTCACCTTCACTTAATTTGTAAAGCCAATGAAATATAGATGAGGTACTTGATTATCATTATAATATATGCCTTATTTTTTATACAAATAGAACTTATATTTAAGAATGATAACATGAAAATATTACATTAAAATGATGACATGAAAATATTTTTAAAGTTCACTAAGACAAAACTGTTATGATAAAATATATCATCTACATATTTATGTCATATTATCTGAGGCTTTAGTAAACAGTGCAAAACAGATACAGAAAAAACACTCACAGAATAAACAATAGAAAATTGCTAATATGCATTAAAGATGACTACTCTATGAGTAAACTGGGAAGTTGAAGTGAATATCCTCAAAAATAAAAATTGCAAAGAGTTTACATAGACTTACAATATCATAAATAAATTCATAATCAATAATATCCTATATCAGCATTTCATAAATACTTATGGCTTACACTTAAAGAAGTCCACTTTAGATTTCTTCTACATAACTACTACAAAAGTTAGAAAATAAAGATTTTAATCTCTTTTTTAGACAACACTTGTGCAAATATTTTTAAAGGGCCAGTCCTAAATTTAGAGTTTAATAGTACTTGTGTTTTTCAACTAATTCCAATACAATTCTATTTAGAAGAAAATTTTGAATTCTGAGTAAGTTTAAATGTTAAATATAAATCTGATCCTTTTCAATGTCTAATTTTTAAAAATCATGTCAAATATGACAGCTTATATATGTAATCATTCGAAACTACCATATCTATTTTTAGTAGCTCTTTTCCTGCCCTTTATACAAGGCTACCTCCATAAGTTACTTACATACCTATTCCCAGAGAGCTCACATCTCATTTCTTCATAAAGCATTTATTTCATAATTTTACTATGAAAGGCAGTGCAGCATAGAAGGAAAGGGCTCCAGTATAAGACTGATATGGTTTCTGTATTAGTGCCACTATTCAGAGCTGTGACACTTTGGCAAATTACCCAACTTCTCTGCTGTCTCAGTATCTTTATCTGGAAGATAACACTACATTGCTCAGTAAAATAGGAAAGTGCTAGCATTTAGTGGGTACTCAGTAAATGGTAGATATTATTATTATTATTATTATT